AGTGACATTTCTCAGGGTTGAATCTCATTCTGCATTGTCTCGCTTGGGCAAAGACTTTTTTGAGGTGGGCAGTATGGTCAGTATCTATTCGAGATTTGACGATCATGTCGTCCATGTATACCTTGAGCATATCCCCGATCTTGTCATGGAAGACTCTATTCATCATCCACTGGTACGTTTCCTCTGTGTTTTTCAGGCCGAAGGGCATTACGTTGTAGTAGTAATTGCCCGAGCTGGTCATGAAAGTAGTGCAATGCTTGTCGCTCATCACCATTATGATTTGGTTATAAATCGAGTAGGCGTCCATAAATGATAAAATTTTATAGCCAACCGAATTGTCGACCAACATGTCAATATTAGGTAAAGGAAAAACGTCTTTGGGACATGCCCGATTAAGATCAGTATAGTCAACACACATTCTCCATTTTCTATTATTTTTCTTAACATATACAATATTTGAGAGCCAAGTTGAATATCGGGCCTCAGAAATAAAATTAGCCTCTAGGATGTCTTTTACAACATTTTCAGCAGCCTCTGCTTTCTCGGGAGACTGCCTACGTTTATGTTGTACTACTGCCCTAACAGATGGATCAATGGCCAATTGGTGACAGGCGACCTCGGGGTCGAGTCTGGGCATTTCCACAGTGCTCCATGCGAACAGGTCCGCGTTCTCTCTCAATCAAGCTTTGATCTGCTTCCTCGCCAAGTCGAGGAGTCCGGTGCCGACCTTCACACCTTTCTGAGGGTCTTCACCGAGGGGGACGAACTCGAAGTATCCATCAGGGCTTGGTTGGAGGAGTTCCTATTTTCCATTGGGGGCTTCGTCCTTGTCGAAGCGGGTGTTGAGTGAGATGAAGTCGACCTTGGGTGGAGCTCTTTACTCTTCTGTCTTGACGGGCTGTGGTTCAGGTCGAGCAGTAACAACTCTCTTAGTAGGCCGTTCCCCAGTTTCGACCGTACTCTGTCTCTTAGAAGCTGCATTGAAACATCTTTGGGAAGCTGAGATATCGCCGTGGATGGTGGCGACGTGTCCCCTCTTCGTGTAAAATTTCATCTTTAGATAGATGGTGGAGGGCACATCGGTCAATTCGGCTAGCGTTGGTCTCCCTAGGATGCACTTGTAGAGAGACGGGCATTCGATGACTAGAAATCGCACCTTGATCTATCGGGATGTTGTTTCTTCCCCGAAGGTGATGAAAAGTTCAACGTGCCTCCATGGTTCGGAGGTCGAGCCATTGAAGCCTTGCAGGTCGGACCCCACGTATGTAGAAAGGTGGGTATCGTCGAGCTGTAAGGTTCGGAACAAATGGTTGTACATAACATTGACAGAACTCCCCCCCTCGACCAAGACTCAGTGAACGTCGAAATTAGTCATCCTTGCCCTCACCAGCAGAGGGATGCTCGAGTTAGGGGCCCCTCCAGGCAACTCTTCGAGGTAGAACGTGATTGGTTATGATCTTCCCTTGACTTTCTTGAATGTCACAGTTTGAGTCGGGGCCGCGTCGACCAGCTCGTCGAGCTTCCTTTTTGCGGAGTTTACGAAGATGTCGTTGAACCCCTCCCCAGCTATAACCATGGCGGAGGGAAATTTCTCCCACATGTTGTGCATGAATAGAGGTTCTTCCTCGTATCTTTTGGGGATACAGAAGTCCTTCGGCCTTGTAATGAAGAAAGCTATCTGGATGGGGGCCGTCTCATCCAATGGTTGGGTGTCCTCCTCGACCTCTTTTGTCTCGCGGGCATCCCAACGAGGGGCGTCATTGCATTGATATTGCTCGAGTCTGCCACCCTTAATGAGGGTTTCGATGGCGTCTTTGAGATGGATGCAATCTTCAGTCAGATGCCCGTGGCTCCAGTGGTACTGACAATATTTGCTCCTGTCAGCCACGGGCTTCGCGGGAGCAGATCGAGGACATCTGAATCCTCCATCCTTGAAGTCGCTATTGGAGCACTTTGCTAAAATGCGCTCGCGGGAAGCGGTCAACAGAGTGTATTCGGTGAATCTCCCCACGGGCTCCCTGTGCTCGCGGGGATCACAGGGCTTGTCATCCCTTCTCTTCTCGCCCGTTCATCAAGGAGGGCCTGCGTCCTGGTGTCGTGGGGTGTTGGTTGGTTCACGATTCCTTGGGTCGCAGGCTTTGTTGGCCTCTTCCCTTTCTTCATAGTCCATATAGGCCCTATCCTTTTTGAGGAGAGCATCGAATGTCCGAGGTGGTTCGACGCCAACAACCTTCTTGAAATTCGTGCCCGAGAGGAGTCCTCTCTCGAGCATATATCATTTAATGTGATCAATACAGGGGACCTAAATGGCCTTACGGTTGAACCGATCTATGAACTTCCTAAGGGTCTCATCCCTTCTTTGGACGATAGCTTCGAGAGCAGCCCCAGCCTTCGGATGTCGATGAGAGGCTGTGAAGGAGCTGATGAACTGGTTCTTTAGGTTTCTCCAGGAGGTGATCGACCCTGGGGCGAGGTTCTTATAACAGTCCATCGCAGTATTTCTCAATGTCGTGGGGAACAACTGACACTTGATTGGTCACCTGATGTTATGGTAGTGGAGCATTGCCTCGAACCCGTCGATATGGTCGACAGGGTCTGCAATGTCGTCGTAATCCTTTAGTTAGAGAGGTTTCTCCATCCCCGGGGGAATGGGTGCCTCCATAATTTCTTGGGATAACGGACCGCGGGGGTCGTCTTCGTCGTTTCTGTCTGGAGAGCGGAAAGGTGACCTGTTGTAGTGGCGGTCTTGGTGGCGGCCCTGGTCGCGGGAAGGATCCTACAGACGGGGTCGTGGTTCTTCATTTCCCCTGTTTCTGTTTCCAGGGGGCCGTCGTTCTTGGCGCAGGGGGGCGTGGTGGCATCTTCCTGTATTAACAGACTGATTCCTCTCCAACGCGGGGCATCGACCAGTTCGTCGGGGAAAGGGGCTTCATGAGGCATCCCGTTTGCGTCTCTGCGGGGAGATTGGGGATGTTCCTCTATCTGTCGGGGAGGAGGAGAATCAGGTCTCCCGTATCTTTTAGGGGCTCGACGAGAGTCCTCGAGCACCCTTAATCACTCGTCTTGTGAGAAGATTAAGTAATTTGTCTAGTTAGTGGCCGTAAACAGAGCTATGGTCGTGGCGTCAGCGCCCGCAGGGACGGGGACCTCCTGGAACGCGTTCGATTGATAGTTCTGGGTAGAATGATGATTGTCTCCGTGTCGTCGGGACAAGGATGATGAAGAGGCGGTCAGTCTATCTCTGTAGTTTAACGAGGGATCGAGCATGTCGACAGCGTAGCCAATGTTGTTGTTGCTAGTGTTGTTATTATTATCAGCATTATGGCCAGCGTTGCCAGTGTTGTTGGTGCCGACATTGTTGTCGCCGACGCTGTTGTTAATGTCGGCGAGATGGGCATTTTGGTTGTTTTCTGCAGCTGGGTCGACCATGACAATCAAGAATTTGGAGTTGCTTTTGTCTTAGGTAAATGAAAGACGAGGAAGCTTGTTTTCCACAGACGGCGCCACTGATCGTATCTGACCAGAATTGATCGTCTCAGCCTTACGTCGAGCAGAGGTTGAAGGTGAGATGGAAGGGGGGTACCTGCAAGATACTCCAATGCCAAAGTGAGATTCAGAATAATGCAAGCAAGTGAGAGTGAGTAAGAATGTTTCAATACCTGACCCTCTCAAGTGAGAGGGTATTTATAGCCTCCAATGCTGGGCCAAGGTCTCCAATGTTGGGCCACAATGAGGCTCAATAAAGAAGACTGTCAGGGCTTACGTGTGTATGGAGGTCAGTACGTGGCCTCCCCCTAGTTGGCTGTCCCACGAAAGTAGGACTTGAACCTGGTGTTCTCGGAGGGCAGGAAGGTGGTGACGATAAGGGCATGTCGACCACGTTCCCTAACGGATACATGAGGAATTGCCCAACGGTGCCCAACTTGAATTGTTCGCTTTTGAACCTTGTACAAAGGTGTTGGATTGAACCTCTCCAACAGTGAAACATGCACTGATTCAATCCAGATCAATTATTATACATTTTGGTATACTGTTAGACTATATTCATCTTAGGTAATTTATTTTTCTGTTACAACTAATTATTTAACTACTACAACCATTTAATTTTGATATTTTGCATTAAAATAATATATATTAAAATTTTCCAAATTTAAAATAATAATATACAATATTTGACATTTAAATTAAATAACAATAAAGTCAGATCAACATTTTTGAAATAAAAAAAATAAGAAATAAAAAAAATTATTCAATCAGCGCGCAACTTGGAACCTTAGAGTATGTCATTTCTCCCCCAAAATATAAAAGAACAAAATCTTCTTTTAGTAACACAAAGATTGTTGGCTTAATACACAAAAAAAATCTTCATATAATAAAGTTGATTTTTCAAAAAAATAAAATAAATTTAGAGAGAGAAGAACAGAAGCAAAAATATTATTAGTCATTTATTTATATTGAACATGTTACTAGCTAAAATATAACAAGAGCATACAAAAAACTGTTTTTACAATTGATTTACTAATTGAAGTTTCTTAACTTAGTTTTTTTTTCCCTTCTATTTGATCTTTGATTCTCCAACGAAGTTCATTAGGTAACTGAAGGCTCAAGAAAAGTAAAGATATTTGGATAAGGGTCTCTCAGCTTAACCAAATATTTAGAATTCGAGATCAACCTTAAAAGACGTAGCAATGTTAAAATTTTGTTAAAATCTTTGAAGAGAATTTTGGTGATTATTGTAATTCTTTCTGAATGGAAGCCTGAAGAAGTTTAAATTAAGATTAGAAAGTAGCAGAACCTCAACCAACTACACTACACGCGTTGCTATCTAGTCACTGTCCACTCAACAGACCAATCAAACCAAACCAAACCAAATCAACCACCGCGATCAATTCTTTAACCAAACCCAAAACTCACTTTCACTTTCCCCAAACTCCTATTATAACACCACTCACCAGTCACCACCACACAAACATCAAATTCCATAAAACCTATCAAACTCAATGACCACCAACAACACCACCGCCTCCTATCTACAACTCACCCTTTCCTCACCTCCAAAAAAACCCCAACCCATCCCATGGACCCACCAAGAAACCCTCAACCTCATCCGAGCCTACCAAGAAAAATGGTACTCCCTCAAACGCGGCCCACTCCGCGGCAGCCAATGGGAAGAAGTCGCCGTTGTCGTCGCCGCCCGATGCGGTTACGATTACAGTCACCCTTCTAAAACCGCCCTCCAATGCCGCCACAAGATGGAAAAACTCCGTCAACGTCACCGATCCGAAAAGCACCGCTTCACCGCCACTTCCTCCGCTGCCTCTTCCCGATCCTGGCAGTATTTCCGTCTCATGGACGATCTTGAACGCGGTCCTCTCCCTATCTCCGTTCGAGCTCTTCCTCACAACAACAGCCACGAATATGAGAACAACAACAACAACTATAGCGATGGTGAGAGAGGGAAAAATCAGAGTGTTAGGTCAAGGAATATTCTTCACCAGAAAGCTGATGATGATGGTGCGGAGGAGGAAGAGGAAGGAGGGATGGCAACGGAGTTGACGGCAGAGTTGAGAAGTTTTGCAGAGAGGATAGTTCGATTGGAAAATATGAAGATGGAGATGATGAAGGAAACAGAGAGGTTTAGGTTAGAGATGGAGAATAAGAGGATTCGTATGATACTTGAATCTCAGTGGAGGATTATTGATTCCATTGGAAGGGTTTTTAGATCTTCCTAGATTTTAGATTACACCATTAATCATCTCTAATTTGTGTTTTTTTAGTTTACATGCACTTATTTTGCAGGTTTTTGTTGTATTGTAGATATGTATTTTTAAGGATTCTACTGTTTTTATGAATTTGTAATTTACAATTACATGGTTGATTTGGTTATGATGCAGAAAAAAACCAACCAGGTTACTGAGAATCACACATTATCCAAAAAAAGTTAGGGAACATTGAAAATATAAATTAGATGGGTAGAATTTCCATTAATTTTTATGATTAAAAAAGTATTTAACTAATATATTTTTAGTTACTCTAAAATTATTTTTCTTTTCAATTACTCTAAAATTAAAAAATGTTTTTACTCTATGTTAGAACTGAAAAATTGTTTTGTAAAAAAAACCTTCAAGTAACATCTATGAACTAAAAAAAATGATCATAGAAATTCAGTTGTTGTGAAGCACACTTTTCTGACTTTTGCGACTCATAATCAATTCTGCTATTTCATTAGACAGTATGTATTTGTTTGTACATTAGGTTCTTGTTTATATGTCAAACACAATATTAAATGAAACATATACACCTTAAAACTCAATTTATAAAAACATTTAGGATGCGTTTGATATGAAAAAAAAAAATACTGAATATAAACAATTTTTTGACTTGTATAATATTTGATGGATAATAAACCAGACAAATAAAAGGAGAGACAATATTAATAAAAGAAGAGGAGAGAGAATATATTTTTAATAGAAAATAAAAGGATATTTTCATAAATATTAATATAAAAGAGAATATACTTTTAATAAAAAATTTAATGGTATTTTTGTAAATTTTAAAATATGAGAAAGAGAATATATTTTTAATAGAAAAATAAAAGGGTATTTTCCTATTTTATGTAACTTATTATACGAATAAAAAATTATCTCATGATTTAGTGAGAGACAAATTTTGTAGTTTTTGTCCGATTCTTAATTCCGATTTTTGTCCTGTTCCATAAATATCTTTTAAATCAAACGGAGATAATTAAAATTGTGTTGTCCAATCCGTTATTTTTTAATAAATCAAATGCAATAATTTATTGAAAATTACACTCACCACTTCTGATCTGACCTGATCAGAAATGGACCGTCACGGCTGGCTCCGAGCTGAAAGCTTTTTGAACGAGGTGGGGGGGGGGGGGGGGGGGGTACCTGCAAGACACTCTGATGCTGAAGTAAGTAGAAGCACGAGCAGGTAATAGCAAGTGTATGGGTAGAATGATGAATACCTGACCCTCTAGAAACAGAGGGTATTTATAGCCCCCAGCGCTGGGCCAGGCAGGTTTGGCCCAATGGAGGAACTGCCAGGTTCTACGTGCGTAGTGGGGACCCGCACGTGGTCCCCTTCCTGGATGTTCTGCGTGAAGTGCGGGCGGACGGAGACGCGGTCTTTTTGGGGTCTCGTTGGGAGTGCAGTGGACTGAGTCTGCCCTAGTTGGGGGTGCTCGAGGTGATGTCAAGCTGGACAGCAGGATGTCGAGCTGGAGATGTAGAGGTCGAGCACGTGACCTCAGGGAGTACGTCGGGCGCGACTGTGACCCTTTGGTCGGCGTGGTCCTCAACAAGTCCATTTGGATTGGGCCTTAGCGATGCTATTGGGCCTGTCGGGCCCAGTCCAGAACAGGAGCCCCCCAAGTCGTGGTTCCTTTGTTAGGAGCTATGGCTTGATCTCAGGTCGTTTCCGCTTCGGGGTCTCGCGCCCGGGTCAGAGATGCAGGCCCTCGAGGGCCTCTCCATGTCGTGCTCGGAGACAAATCTTTCGTGGTGGATACTCGGAGGATCCTTGCCGGCGCGTGTCTGTCGAGCACACGAGGTATCTTTTGGGAACTGTGCCGCCGCCCTATGAAGATAGGGTCATCATTGCGTTGGGAGCAGTGCGTCGAGGATAGAAACTCCGTGGTTGCCCGAGGTGACGTTTGGTATTCCACGTCATCACTATAAATAGGAACCTTGGGCCCCATAACACGTTTCTACTCTTTGCGCTCCTACTGCTGCTGTTCTTCCAGATTTTTCATAGCTGCGATTTTCTGTTACAGATTCTTTTCCTCCGTAGCCGAATCCACTTTTTGATTCCAAGTAAGTGACATATCTTCTTTATTTTCCTGTTGTAATGCATGATTCACAGCGTTGTAGACGTTTTAGGGACTGTGCGCGTGGGACTAGCCCGGTAAACTCATGCTTAGCTCGACATATTCATGCTTAGGACCGGCAAACACATGCTCGTGGCCGGTAGATTCATAGTTTTAGGTAATAATCTGCAGCGCTGCCCGGGGTCTTCATGATCCAGGGCGCCTGATTCATGATCGTGCCCAGTATGTTCATGGTCCTGGCCGTAGGTTTCATGATGTTGCTCGCCATGTTCATACCTTGGGTCGACATGTTGGAGAGTGGCCGCGTAGTCGGTTTGGAGAAGGACACATCGAGTTATCTGGATGTCGGGGAGGCGACTGCTTGTTGCAAACTAACTTTTGTGGTCGTGCATGGGACGACGTGGTTTGTCGTACACTACACCCGGTCCGCTAAGTCGAGCGTATGGTTTCGTGCCCAATTGACTGGTTTCCCGTGCTCTGCAGGTAACCATGGCGGACGAGCCGTGCTCCTCTGGACGCCACGAACATGAGGAACAAAGTGCCGATGAGGCGGTGAGCTTGATTGATATTGTCGACGACCCTTTGTTGGATTGGGTGGGCGCCGAGCCCCGAGGAATCGCGTCGATATATAGCCGGCGTGACAAAAAGCCATATGTTGTCCTCGAAGCGGGCCAGGGCCAGCCTGATTTCCAAAAGAATTTCGTTGTCACGCGTCCGACCTCCCGTGCCCGGATCTGCTCGGTGTACCCAGAGTATAGCTTCCCGATGTACGAGATCGCGTTCAAAGATCTTGGGCTGCAGCTGCCCTTCAGTGACTTTCAGACCGGGGTCTTTGCCCATCTGGAGCTGGCCCCGTCGCAGCTACACCCGAACTCACTCGCCTTTATCCGGGCGTTTGAGATGACATGTCGCTTTCTGAGGATCGGGGCGACCATACCGCTCTTCTTCAGAATTTTTCATCTGCAGCGCCAGTCCCGAGGAGGGAAACACAGCTGGGTCTCCTTAAAACAGTCGAGGAGACTATTCAAAATGTACATGGACTCCGTAAGGGGTTTTAAAGACAAGTGGTATGTCGTGCGGCCAGTTACCACGTCTGCTTTAGGATCCCTGTACGAGGAGGAGGCGCCCATAAGCGATGATGACGGGGAGGCGGTCTTAGACAACGATGGGTATCCCGTGATGGCCCGTACAACCAAGTTCCCTGTGCATTGGATGTTCAGGAACTACGAGCACGGGACTGGATACTATCATACCGTTGCGGGCGACATGTGTTCGGAGGACGAGGAGGCGTACGCCACTCTTTGTCGGTTCGTCGACAACTTCCACCCCGCCCTGTGGGCCACGAGGGAAGGGGAAGATGTCTTGGATGCAGAGGGTTATCCGACATTTGAGTCCCGGCCGATTGATACTAAGGCGCTCGTGGAGTGTCAGACATTCAGGCAGGCTGCTCGTCTGCTAGGTCGTTTATTGCTTGAATTTTTTTGCTCGTCATTTATTTATGAACTTGCTCGATACTAACCCGTCTTTTATTTTGTGCAAGTTCGATGGTCGGTCGAAGGGAAAGACTTTTGAAGCTGTTTTGCGACCAGAAGCGGGGTAGGAGGGTCGTGAAGGCTCCCCAGGTGACGAGGATGGGCCTGCCACATAGTCCGGGCGCTCCTCAGGTGGTGAGGGTAGATTCGTCGCCCAGCTCGGGGGCCGCGTCGGACGAGATCCCAGAGGTTCAAGAGGTCGATCCTAATGCCGACCTGATACAAAGAAAGAGGACCCGGGTGGAAAGAGGTCCGGCTGTCAGCGAGGACACCAGCGCCGTCAGGTCTTTCGGGTTCCCCCCTTGTTTCAAGGAGGAGGGTTTCTTCGAGAGATTCCCTCTGTCTGTGGTTGCCGACGAGGCTGAGACTATCAAGAGGATGAGTAAGGAGGATCGGAAGAGGCAACTGGCCGCCAGCATGGACGGGCTGGTGAAAATGGCCGAAATGGCCCTGGTGTTGTCCGAGGAAGGGGGGGATCCTGTCCGTATTGAAGAACTTGAGCAGGAGAAAGCGGCTCTCACCCCGAGCTCGCGGAAGTTGAGGACTGCCCTGGAACGCTCTGAGGAGATGTTCCGTGAGCAGGCATCGCTGCTGGATGCTGAGAGGGAGATGCTGGTCCTGGAGAAAGAAAGGTCGGGGAAGCTGGCCGAGGAGGGAGAGCTTCTCCGCGCGGACAGGGATCGTCTGGAGACCGACGTCGGGCGCTTGACCCAACAGATCGAGGACATGAAAGTCGCCATGCTTCCTGCCGAGGACGAGCTGGAGGACATAGCGGCTTTGAAGAGTCGATCGGAGCTGGTCGCCCATATCCGGCTACTCGAGGCAGATTGCGTCGGTGCTCTGGAGGAGGGTTTCGACTCCGCAGTCGGCCAGCTTTCCTTGTTAAACCCTGGTTTGGTCACTGAGGGGACGGGCTACACACATCAGATAGTGGATGGTGCGATCGTGCCCCCGCCTGACTCTCCAATTGTCGACGCTGATGGTTCCGGGGAAGCCTGATCGTAGGATAGCGGGCCTGCGTGCCTTTGATATTTGTATTTTTTGGGCCTGCGTGCCCGTTGGTTGTACTTTATGAACATCGCCGGCCTTCTTGGTCGGTTTATAATTTTTTGCTTTGCTGCCTTCGGGCATTTATTTTGAATGAATGTTGTTTTACATTTGATTGTTGCCCGTGCTTTAGATCTTATATTTTTGCATAAAATTTAGCCTAAGTCATGGGCCCGAGGAGTGCCCGTAAGTGGCTGTGATTTGGCGGGCGAGTCTGCCCGTCTTTCGTTTGTATGCGTGCCCGGCCTTCTTTCGCTGGCCAGAGTCACCTAAGTGTTGCACTCGAGGGGAGAGACTTCCTTTT